AGGTAGCGGGGCGCTTTCAAATGCTGCTGCTAGCTATCTGGTGGCATGCAACTTCAGCGGGACAGCAGGCGCTGTGATTGATGATTGTGGCACTCGTTGTTGTCAGCTGGCCTTTGATGTGGCACCACAACAGCAGCAGCAGCAGCAGCAGCAGCAGCACCGGCTGCAGAGAGCACTTCCTTTGGGCACGTACTCCATCCACTTTCGTTTTCCAACTAAAGTCGACAATTTATGCAGCATAACTTGTGTATTTAGACCCGAAACGTAAGCCGCTTGAAGAGTTTCGTGTCTGCTAAGCCGCTTAGCAGCTAGCCAGGAAACTGCAGCAGACATTTTGTGTTGACAAATCAATTAAATGTTAAATTTAAAGGTGCACAGTAGCAACGATTGCTGTGCCCGAGTCCGAATTGGAATAAGAGTCCGATTCCGAGTCCCAGTCCCAGACCCAGTCCAGCTAGCAGCAGCTCAACACGAATTAGCTCGTCCACTCGCAGATAAACGACTGCCAACATGCGATGCAGCCCCGTGGGCTTTTGCCCTGTTCTGGCCAGGGCCTAGACCTGGCGCTTATCGAAATACATTGATTGGCCCGGTTTCGAGCCGTGCAAATCGTAAAGTGTGAAAACAAATTGCAAGCCCCACTGGAGGCACAGGAAACTCATTGCAGTCGCCAGATAATTGCACTCGATTTGTAATTCAAGATTAAGGGCAACCGAAACCATTCGACGTGGCATGGCATGGCATGGCATGCCCCTTAGCTAGAGGCCTGCACTTTTCGATCTTTGTTTTAATTTATGTGCACTTGACGTTTTTCCTTTATTTTATTTTTTCTTATTTTTTGCCTCAGATAATCACTGAAAATGTGGGCCATGAGTTAAGTGATTATGTAAATTTTTTTTGTATGCAGATGGAGATGGAGAGAGATCCCAGTCTGTCAGTGTCATGCCCCTAGATATATAAAACCTTCAATTGAACCACTGGGAGAGATTGGGACGCAACTCGAAAAGCTTTAAATTGATCGTCAATTCAAAGAGAAACGTTAAGTGCGAAGTAAAGATATATAGAGTATATAAAGTAAATTATTTAAAACTTGTAACAGTCTTATATCATATGCAGCATATATTATATGCAGCATGTTTATTGCATAGAGTTATAGTTGAAAGCTATAAACATTTATTGTATAAGCTGTGCGACTGGGATTGCACAATATCCATTCGCTCGCCAAGAACGTGACCAGGGTTTAAGATATAATTTATGGGATGGTTAAAAAAACTTAATTTGAAATAAATATTGGATTTATAAATATTTACTAGACAAACTAAGTGTCTTTTAAGTCACATATTAAGGAGCATAAATAAATAGATTTTTTTATTTATAAAGATTGGAACTACATTATCAAGAATATTTTTTAAAAACTACTTTCCAAGAGTTGTACCAAATTAGTTAACCAGTTTGCCGAACTTGGCTTTAACAATCTGACCAAAAAAATCTAAGTTCACAAAGTTTATATAAGTTCTTATTGAAATAAATAAATAAACCTAACAAACTAAGTAAATTTTAGTTGGGGTTGCTCGACTAGGAGTTACCCCGAACCTCATCCTATATCTGCGATTTTAAATATTTTCCAAATCTTGTAGCAGACACATTAGGAAACTAAGACTCGAACCAACATCTCTTAATTTAATTTGTAATTTGGCAAAATTTGCTGCCAGCATAAAAATTATAACAAAAATCAAAATTGCATAAAATATACATAAATCTAAATACAAAATTTGGAGCTCTATCTCTTAAGCTATTAATCGATGATAATGAAACGAAAATATTTATTGATTATTTGAAACTAATTTGATGTCTGTGTGCTATAGATGGACCTATAAAATACCAAGTATCTACTCTGCTTATCTTCTATGATCGATCACATATACGGACAGACGGACGTTCTGCTGGACAGCCAGGGCTACAGCGACTCAGCCCGTCATCCTGAACCAGAATATATATACTGAATTGGTATCTGGAACGCCAATGGCCTGAGAAACAAGACTCAGGAACTGGCTGCGTTTCTCTCACAAGAAAACATAGATATAATGTTAATAACAGAAACTCATGAGTGCCCCACTACACAAATTTTCGGATACGAACACTATCAGGCTCATGGTGAAGGAGCAAACTGCTTTGGTGGATCCTCAATCCTCATACGAGCAACAATACCGCATACACCTTTACTGCCAATTTGCAACGCAACAATGCAGGTCTCAGCCATCACCCTGCCTACGTCTATTGGAGCGATCGAAGTTGCGTCAATTTATCTTCCGCCAAACACTGGTCTGTGTGATCATCACATGGAACAGGTTCTAGGCCAAAGGTTGAATAAGACCCTCATCGGCGGCGACTGGAATGGATGGCACCCATTTTGGGGAAGCAATAGTGCGAATCGTCGCGGAGAAGTCATATTTGAGGCGATTCAAAACTTACAATTCAGCATATTGGCGACTGGAGCCCCCACCCGTTACCCAATTAATGGACACAGGCCCTCGGCAATCGACTTCGCTGTCTACAAAGGCATCTGTGACCGGCAATTGACCATTGAAGAATCCTTGGACCTATCCTCTGACCACCTGCCACTAATAGTCACAATCCACGCGCAGCCACAGCCCTTGCCCATTAGGAAACAACTACTGCCAGCAGGATCAGATTTAGGAGTCTTTAGGCGCGAGCTCCATTACTCTTTGCACATAGAAATGGAACTTAACACTCCTGAAGACGTGGACTACGCAGCAAACAAACTGCAGGAAGAAATAGTCAAAGCTGCGCACCAAGCCGCCCCACCATCTTGCCAAACAAGACAACAGTCTCCGTACAACATCCCCCTCACCTTGGAGGCCCAACACCTACTAATACACAAAAGATGGGCCAGGAGACGCTGGTTAAGATTACGCACGCCTGATGCCAAATCCATGTACAACGAAGCCACGAGGCATCTTAAAGCTGCTCTCGCCCTGCTTCAAAAGAGGTGTATCAGCGATGCGCTGGTACGAGCTGAATCGCCCACTGACGCAGAGTTTCAATTATGGAAATTTACAAGAAAGCTCAAACGGCAGCCAATACGACGTCATCCCATTCGGAGCATTTCTGGTTCCTGGCACATTGGAGACGAAGCTCAAGCTGAGGCTTTTGCAAACCACCTTCAAGACCAATTCACGCCGGTGATTACCGCAGAGGCCTCAGAAATCGAAGCAACAGAAGACATCGTTCTCTCGCCCCTCCCAGCTGAAGACCAGATAACTGGATGTACAAAAGAAGAGGTTCTTGAACACATCAGAAGAGTGAAGGCAAAAAAATCCCCTGGATATGATCTAATAAACGGCAGAGTCCTTAGAGCACTGCCTGACTCCACCATAGACTACATAACTATGGTGTACAACGCCATGCTCCGCATCCGGCACTTTCCAGCCTGCTGGAAGCGCGCCGTGATTGTGATGATTCCTAAGCCTGGCAAACCCGTGGGAGAAATTGAGTCGTACAGACCAATTAGCCTGTTGCCAGTACTCTCCAAAATATTCGAAAGAATATTTCTGGAACGAGTACTGACACATCTGGGACGCCAGGAGGCCATTCCAAACCATCAGTTTGGCTTCAGGAGACAGCATGGAACACCGGAACAGGTTCACAGAGTTGTGCACCATATCCTTGGAGCCTTTGAAGAAAAGATGTACTGCTCTGCCGTCTTTTTAGACATCAAACAGGCGTTTGATCGAGTTTGGCACCTGGGACTGCTGCAGAAAGTGAGGACCACCCTTCCAGCCCCATTTTTCGCGTTGCTATCCTCATACCTTATTGGAAGAACCTTCCAAGTGTCAAGGGGGCAAACAGTATCCTTGACTAGACCAATTATGGCTGGAGTACCACAGGGTAGTGTTCTAGGCCCAACACTTTATACTTTATTCACAGGAGATATGCCAACTCCCGAGCCAAATATAGGAAGTACAGATGCAGTACTCATAGCGACCTATGCAGATGACACCGCCATCTTATCACGTCACGTATCTGCGCAAGAAGCTTCAGACTCACTACAAAAATATCTGGACTCTTTCGGACGCTGGGCAAAACGGTGGTGTATCACCATTAATGCACAAAAGTCTGTACATACTACCTTCGCCACTAGAAGAGGAGATTGCCCAAGCGTTGCATTGGGGCCCACTATTCCCAAAGCCTCAAAAGTAAAGTACCTTGGTATCACTCTTGACAGAAGGCTGACTTTTAAAGCGCACATAAGTCAAGTAACCTCAAAATGCAAAAGCAAGCTAAAAACCCTCGACTGGATGCTGAGAGCTTCAAGCAAGTTGTCTTACAGCAGCAAGGCCGCCATCTACAAGGCAATAGTTGTCCCAACCTTCGTATATGGTATCTCTCTATGGGGCTCCTCGGCGAAGACTACAAGGAACAAAATTCAGACCCTGCAGAATAAAGCACTACGCAGATGGACTGGAGCCAGCTGGTTTGTAAGAAACTCAGTCTTACATAGGGATTTAGCAATTCCCACAGTTGCTGAACTCATTGGGCGACACAGTTCAAGATACGCGGACAGACTTGCAGCGCATCCTAACCATCTCGCAAGCAACCTGGCTATAAACAACAATAGGCGAAGACTGAAGAGATTGCATCCTCTAGACAATATTAGAACTAATTAAGATAGTAGCTACAAGTGCAGAATAATTGGCATATCTGCCCTCCCATTAGTTAAGGTTTAGAGCTAAATGCGCTATAGAGTCTAAGACAATAAGCTGCAACAAAATAAAGAAATAAAAACGAAAAAAAAAAAAAAAAATATACTGAATTACCTTTTTCAATGAGCTCACTATTATTCCCACCTCTTTCTCAGACTTATATTTAAAATGAAATCCAAGTAGGGTTGTTGTATCTGAGACATTTATTGCAATTTTAATAAAGATATTTTGATAATTATAATATAGACATATAGATGGTATATCTTGAATACTTACATCGTATTTACTTGACCTCATTTTACCCATTTATTTTGCATCTAATTTGCATTCGTATTTCGGCTACGCTTTTTTGTTATATTCAATCCGAGCGACCATTTGATGAGCGTAACAGAATTCTCGTAGCTTTGAATGGATTTCGCTTTCGATTCAATATATTTGTATTTATATATATAATATATAATAATGCGTACGATTAATGTTCATTCATATTCATACGATATGATTAGCTTATAATGTATTGATTTAATTTAATAAATTAAGTTTATTTTAAGCATATTACATATATTGATTGATTTATTCAAACACACAACATATTTTAGAATTTTGAACACCTTTTGTTAAGCACTTTTTTATTGATTTATCAAATATCATTTACTCGTTATGTGTAGCACTTTACTAAATAACTTTGCATTTATTTTGCAGTACATATATGATTAATTGATTTATTGTTAGCGAGTTTCCATGCGTTCGTTTTCTTGTTTTAGCATTTTTGATATCGTTAACACAGTCTTTGCGAATTTGTATATTTTAAAAGTAAAAGGCTTCGAGTGTGGCAACTGCAAATGTGACTGGAATTCAGATTCTTTTATATTTCATTTTGAAATATTACACATACGCCACGTGGCACCAATCGCTGTTCGATTGTGACTGAATGTGCTCTGTGAAAGTTTCCTTTTTGCCGAAAAACTTTGAGTACTGGGCCAAAGGCCGGAAATCACAACGTGGATTTCGATAAACTTTTCTGCAAAATGTGCTTCCAACTTCCAACTGTTACTTTCAGCGGCTCTGCTCGATGTGTTGTTGTAATTTTTTAGGAAAAATCGTTAGGCTCAACCGACAACAAATGCCAAAAGTGCATGAACATAAAGGTAGAGCGGGGAGGTAACTAAATAGACGAACAGCAGAAGCAGGAGGGGGCAGCAACCACGTGAAAAATGCCGGAAACAGAAATCGATTTGCACCAAGCGTTCAAATGAACATATGTGTGTCTGTGTGTGTGTGTGTGAGTGTGTGTGAGTGTGTTGGAATAATATAAAAAGCGACAGAGGCAGAGGCAGAGGCAGAGACAGAGGCAGGGGCCAGGCAATGGTTCGTCTGTTCGGGAAACAGACACATCTGACTGATTTGTTTATAACAATTGAGCAAGCTAAGCAATCTATTGCTAGTGAGCAAAATGTACACTCGCACACACACACACACACACAAATACCGAAATTATGTCACACACACGCAGCACACGAAAGTAGGCAACGATTACGTTTTGTAGCCCGAAAAACTTGCGACAAACTCTTCTTTTTCTGCCTCAATTAAGCATTAGCAATATTTTTATACAATTTCCAACTAAATTATTACAACAATAAAAAAATTGTACAATTTATCAAGTTATTTTTTGTTAAATTATTTTTTTTTTGCTCAGCGTTTTTACCCGTCGCTGCTGCTGTTGCTGCTGCTGCTGCTGCTGCTGCTGCACGACGCGCTGAAAATTCACGTAACAATTGATTTGTGTGTCAAAAATGTCACAAGTGTCAAAAATTGTATGGAAACACTGCGCTGCTCTTGAGAGAGAGAAAGAGAGAGAGCGAGAGTGGGAGAGAGAGAGAGGCACACGAGAGAGCGAAAGTAAGAGAGCGAGCTTACACGTGCATAGACCGAAGAGAACGAAGGCGAGAGAGACAAAAATTGCTGCTGCGCGTCAGTTAGGGTCTCAGCTCTGAGCCCTTAAGAGATGTCTCCACAGCACGTGTATCCTTTTGAAAGAGCGTGGCTAGAAAGCTTTAAAGTTCCGTTGGCTTGTGCTTGGATTTCAAAATGTGACAGTTAGTCTTAGCCAGAAGCTACGCTGATCTTAGCCAGCAGCCAGCGGGCTAATTATTAAAGCAGTAGCTAGTTCAGACTGTGAGTCTTATGTCAGTAATCGGGCTTCAAACGAGCTTAATATACGTACTATATGAGGTATGCAAGCGCTGATGTGGAAAAGTATTTTGACAGTCAGTACATAGAGTAACACGATATCTGGAACAGAAGTTCGATGAGCATTTTGGAAAGCTATGTATAAATGTTAGACTTTGCATTAGTATAATGAGATATATGGCATAAAAGCTGTTACCCATAGTTCTCAATAGTCAAATACACGAAGAAATGATTCCAGCGAATTGTCCAGTGCAGTGCACTCTTCAAGGTATCCTTAATTTAACCCGAGTTGATTGTATATTAGAAAGTTACGCGTTCAAGAACGTTGGAGTTAAGACTGTTCTATCCATATGCTATATATATGTAGAAATCATGATATTTGTATGTGGTATCTGATACATCTACAGAAATGTTTCGAACAAAGCTAAGTAAACATCAGTGGACATAAAATAAATAAATTGTTTAATGGATTAATAACATGTGATATTTTTTCTAGAAACCTCAACACAAGTTTTCAAAGTAAATAATCAGCAGTGATGCAATAACTGCAAGTCCATCAAGATTTGACTAAATATAACAAACCTGAGTACTTCATTAGCCAACAAGTAAATTTGGTTTTTGATCTTGCACCGCAGTGCCGGCCATTCGTAAGCTTTGCACTAGTCATCAGCAGATAACAGGCTTTCTTTGTTAGCCAGTCTTGACTGTATGCATAAACATTGCGTGATTCACTGCCTTAACCGATCCGCTCAAATCACAGGAGCTGAAAGCCCTGGCAAGCGAAAAGGGTTCGCTGTCATCTATTCCTTGGTGAAACCGTTTGCCTAAATGGCTTAAAAGGCTCAAATGTACTCAAGGAGGATATGAATGCGAACGTTTTTCTTCAACCTTGCACTGGAAAGGGAAGTAGTTCGCAACGCCCCAACGCACCAACCCCCAGCCCCTAGCCCCCAGAAGCTAATTGTTTACAGCTAGTCTAGTCTTTACCGAGAAGTCTGGTCAGCAAGGTGTTCTACACACACACGCACACACACAGTCACACACATAGATAAACGCATACAATTCCAGAAGATTGTTTGTCAATTATTCTTTATGTGAATGTTTAAGCAAATTCGCATTTGACTCTGATGAGCTGTGACTAATCTAATTGGATTGACACTGCTCTTATTAGATGCGCACAAAAATGTTATTAATTAATTAAACTCGGGGTGACCGTGGTATTCTGTTAGAGTGTTAAACAATACGAATATATACGCGAGACGGCGAGGCATTCATATATTCGCATTCGATTCTCGATTCCCGACGCCCGACGCCCGACTCTCGACTTTGACTCGCGGCTGCGGTTTTTGTTGTGAACCCAACTAAATGCGATGCGAAACTGGCTGACCAGGCAGAGCCGGGTGCTGACGATGGTTTCTTATTGGAACAGACCCACACAAAGCGAGAGAGTGTGTCAGAGAGAGACGGCACGAAAGAGAGAGAGAGCGCGCATACAGTGGGGCAGCAGGAGACAGCAGCAGAAGCATACGCATGAGGAGAGGGAGACGCAAACGGAGCCGGAGGCAGAGACCGACCAGCGTCAGCTGCGTCGCATGAGTGTGCATAGCGGGTTGCGATGTGGTCTGGCTGGAGGCCAGGGCCTGGGTGGTTTGAGGAGAGGGGCTACTGTAGCAACGACGTTGCTTCGACATGTGTGTGTGAGTAATGTGCTGTGTGTGTGCGAGTGTGTGTGCACGCCATTTGAGGCTAATAACAACAACAAGAACAGAAACAAGAGCAGCGAGCGAGCGAGTTGATTGCAATCTAACTCGTGGCCAGGAACTCAAGTCAAGAGAAAGCTCCGCGATTGCCGCTATCAACGCAGCACAGTTGCAACCAAAGAGAGTGAGAGAGCAGGAGAGAGAAGGAAAGAGCTAAATTACCACTCTTAAGCTGTATGCGGAAGTGTGCAAGAAGAGCGAGTGAGCGAGAGCACGAGGGTAACAGAGGGAGAGAGAGAGAGCGAGAGAGAGCGAGAGAGCGAGGGAGAGCGGCAAAGAGCGAGAGTGAGAGAGGTTAGCCGATGAAGGAGGGAGGGAAGACGGCTGCGCTCAACATAACGGTCACTGCGGCTCATCATGAAAATCGCATGCAATAATATTATTATTATGCCATGCTCTTGCAGTGAAAGCGAGACGGGGGAGGGCTTGACTGCTAGGGGTTGGTTTTCACTCGAAAGGCCTTAGGAATAGAACAACACGTAATGTCGCAATGCTCCCAGGGTGACCAGTTACACTACAACAGTGAACCCGCAGTAAGTAAGACGTTTGCATAAATTAAGCTCTCAAGCTTGAACATAATAAATCTTTTCTATATTGAATATAAATTAAAGAAAGAATCATTAAAGTTAGAAGGCCTAGAAGGCAGATTCTTAGCTAATCATGTTTGATAAAAATAATTTTTTTTGTCTTATCAGATTTTTGGGGTGATTATTAAGCACTCGTAATAGGAGCTCAGTAAATATTTTAAGGCTTATTATAAAAATTAACATTATATAAATAATTTAAAGTCTTAAGAACATATAATTGTCAAAAAAAAATATATATATAAATAATTATGAAAATCATTTTCATTACAGTTTATCATAAAGAGTTTTAATCTTTTCTTTATAGGCAATTACTACTGTAATTTTCAAAAGCTTTTACCCGTTAAGAACTCTAAATGGCATATGGTCACCTTTATGCAACGGCCCGTATCGCCCTCTCTTTCAGCCTCTCTTTCTCTCTCTCTCTCTTTGCCTGACTCTTGGTATCTCTCTCGCCTGGGGGTTGTTGTTTACCCCTTAAGCATGTTCCAATGTCTGACAAACGCGCTCTCGCATGCGATACGTTTGCAGCATGTACTATGGACGTTGTTGGACGTGCAACAACAGGTTTGAGTTTGGCTGCAACAACTGTAACAACAACATGTTGCAGCCTATTGACATAACATTGTCAGCAGCAGGCGTGGCAGTTGGCATTGGCATTGGACTGGGACAGGATCATCAATGCAGTCCCAATGCGCTGATTGCTCACGCGATGCCCGCACACGCACAGCTCCAACGGGAAGGCGACTCAACTGCCAAGGTCCATGCTGGCAGTAGGTTATGCACATAGGTGTTTTCTGATATATTGACAGCATTACGGCTGCGATAGCTGCATATCATTAATCATAGATCTTTAGTCAGAACATGCGCTATTAATTTGAGCAGCACA